GATAGGACATGAAGGGGTCTTGATAACATTAAACACAATATTGCTCTCATGGTTTTCAAGACGTACCTTCAATGGTTTAGTTTCATGGATAACATTGCCCGAAGACAATGGTCGTCCGTCTATGACTTCTACATGGACAGACTTAAGTTTCTTTACAAGAGAAATATTGTGAAGCTTGGCAAACTCTTCATCTATAAAGCAAGCGGATGCACCCGAGTCTAATAAAGCATCGACTTGTAGTTCTTGAATACCCAGATGTAAAGGTACCATAAAACAATCTGAAGGTTGAGCTGAGAAAAAAGGACCTTGATTAATTTTGGATGTTGAGATGTCCAGCCGCACGGTCCCTATTGTGGCTGGGCGTCCTTGTTTTCCTGCATGCTTGTACTCCTGAGTCTTGTTGTTTGAGGCTTCTGTTTCTTCCGACAATCTACAGCTTTATGGCCCGCTTCTCCGCAATATAAACACAAGTTTTGTTCAAACCGTCGCTTCCTTTCCTCAGCTGTGAGGGATTTGAAACGTACCGCATCAATTTGCATGGGTTCAGGATCTGTGGAGTGATTCTCTGGACCTTTTGAAAATGTAGCAAATGCTCCATCATTTCTCCAGCCTGATCGTCTTTCTTGTCGTAATTCAAAGAGGCAGTTGTCACAAATAATTGCCTGAGATATAAGTTCTTCTAAAGTATCCGCCTTAGGCATGGTGATCAATAAGTTCTTGACATCATCTCTCAGTCCATATCGAAATCGTGTCATGAACGCCTTATCATTCCAATCAAGATCACATGTAAGCTGTTGAAATTCTGCAGCATAGATTGCAGCAGAACGTGATCCTTGTCGCAGATTTTGTATCTTTCTTTCAGCCACTCTTTCTCGATCGCTATCTCCAAATGCAGCAGTAAGTCTCTCTATGAAAGCCTCTAGGTCGTACAATATTGGAGAATCCTTCTCCAATAGTGGAGCAAATCAAGAGCGAGCATTTCTTGATAGAAGAGTACCTATGAAAGCAACCTGGGTAAATCCATTCGGATAACGAGAAGGGTATAGGCGTAGGTAAAGCCGTACTTGTTGCACAAAACCTCGGAAGTTGGCTCTTGTTCCGTCAAACTTGTTTGGCATACTCGCTTTTGGTTCTTTCGTACTAATCCTTGAAGTATCCATAGGGGTCGTATGTGACACATGTCTTGCTTCTCTTAGTCGAATAATCTCTTGTTGTAGGCTATGAATTTCGCGTCTAGCTTCTTTGGTCACCAGATCAATTTGAGGTTCTTTACTTGGATTGCAAAGAAATGCAATCTCTTTTCGTACACTATTCATAAGAGCTTGAAGATATGCAAGAGTTGCCACTCTATTGTCTACTTGTGGAGATGCACTGTCTATGACCTGGTCTACTTCCATATTTAGAGAATAGATGGATTAAAATTTTGAGAGAAGAAGAAATTGCTAAGTCTCTTGGAGAAAATTGTAGCACTACCTGTCACTAAAACCTACTCGGAGAAAAGAAAAAAAAACACTAAACGATTTCAGTTTTAGAGGAGGGTAATCCGCAACCTCTAAAAATGCCTCAATGCTTTCGAGAAGAGGGGTAATCCGCACTCTATCAAGAAGGCAAAGCTCTGAAATCGATGTTAATAGTCTTTTTTACTAGCTATGCTAAACAAAAAGAAGGAATTAATATCAGTCCAAGAGAGGATAATCCGCAACCCTTAGAACGCTCAAGTATCTCCAAGGAAAGGGGTAGTCCACTCTCTGCCTCAAAGAACTAAGCTCTGATATTGTGATTGAGAAAATATCAGTTTAGAGGAAGGTAATCCGCAACCCCTAAAGCGCTAGAATACCTTCAAGAAGAGGGGTAATCCGCTCTCAAACAAGAAGGATTCAGCTCTGATATTAAGATAAAGGTAGTCTCGACAAACTGTCACGGACCAAAAATACAAACAAGAAATCTAAACAAGAAGTTCAAGAAGAAATGACAAGAACTAGATTATCAGATGAGTACAAGAGCAACGCCAAGAGAATTGAGCTAGAGCTTCAAGAGATGCGTTGTCGAGACTGAAGAACTCTTCAGCCTCGACTCCTATATATACTACTGGCCTATGGTTCTAAGGAAGCGCATCAAGAAGCTTCCCAAGAACTATGAAGCTTCTCGAGCAACTACCCAAGAGCTAGGAAGCTTCTCAAGTAACTTCCTAGAATCTACTAGAATATTCTAAGAATCTTCTAGAGCCTTCTAAGGGAATCTTTAGAGAATCTTCAAAGAATCTTTAGAGAATATTTAAAGAATATTCTAAGAGAATATTCAAGGGATCTTCTGGAAGTTTCTAAAGACTTCTTTCTAGAAGGTTCTAGAAACTTGTCTCTAGAAAGGTCTAAGGACTATGTCCCTAACACATATTTGGTTCAAAATAAATTATTTTATTTATCTCTTTCTTTAATGTATACCAAGTTGTGTATTCCTTCTAGATCTATTTAGATATAAATCTTTGTTTTATTCATTTGATTGATAATTCTTGAAATAAAAATTAAAAGATATATATTTTTGATGGTGATCTTATGGAGTCATTGATTATCTACATACATCCGTAGTGATCCATCAATTTTCTTTACATTTAAGATAAGAGTTCATACCAAAGATTTTGAATAGTGTATGAAATTTTTTAACTATACTTTCATCAATACATTCTTTAAATGCAACCAACTTATTCTTTGATAAGCTATAAATTGGTCCAAATGAAAATTGAGCTCCTTCTTAAAGATTAATTGAATAACCATGATGATAATGTTTTAAAAAAATATTTGCATTTTTCTTCTAAAAAACGTCTTGAGAATCTTAATATTAGTTAAGAATGTTGCTTAAAGTCTTTCCTCCATTAGAAATGGATGTTTCATAAATAACAAAAAGTAATCATTCTTTTGTAATATGCATGATAACTCTTGCACTTTATAAAAATTTGATTATATTAAATTTATGACTTTTTATAAAGATCTAGATAAGGTTATGGAAAAAATCAAGGTTATAAGAAATTTAATCTATTTATGAATTATACTTCTCAATAAATCTAAAATAATTAGATTAAAAAGAGATCCATTTATATTAAATATTACTAAGCTATTTTTTCTATTAGTTGTTACATCTAAAAGAACAATATGATAAATAATATCTCTAAAAGACAATAAACGACTATGCATGGCTTTTACATGTACAAGCTTAGATGTTTTAATTAAGAATATTTCTTAATTTTTAACAAAATCTTTGTATATAAAATAAACTAAGGCTTCTAAATCTAATAAAATAAGGATTTTATAATTTTTTATTCCAAATAAAAATCTATTAAAAAGAAGATGAAGGATCATAGGCAAAAATAGGATTTTTATTTGTTTTTATATAAGATATTAGTTGCATAATTCCTATTAAAGTTAAACAAAATTATTTTTCAATATATTATCTTTTTGGCAACCATATTTCTTATTTTGTGATTTCATTGTTTCTTTGGATAATATAGAATAATATGCTAAGTAACCACAATAAAAGAATAATCTTTCTTGAAAATGTTGAGTCTTTTTTTGCTTAGTAAGAAATTTGAAACATACCATGTTAATTTATATAGCTTCTAAACTTAATGAATAAGTTTTTAAAAAATTAAGAATTATTGTCATGATTAGACTTGCTCTTATCTAATCAAATCTTTCTTCCTAGAGGCTTTGAAAAAATTAATTGTTACATGCAATGGCTTAAACAATAAACTATTCTAATAAGGTTTCTTTTATTATTGTCAATAATAAATATTTCATATTATCTTTTAACTTATATCAAAATTTATTCCTAAGAGTTTTGTTATTCCATTCCATATTACAAGCAAAATTTTAGAATTTTGTAACATATATGATAGCTAAATGTAATCCTTATAGTAAAAATAAGAATTTGGTCTCTACTACTATTTTTTTATTATTTTCTTAGTAGATGGTTGTAAACACTTCTAAGAATGAATTTACATCATAGAGAAATTGTAAGTATTTTTCTATCAAATGTACAAATCAAAAGAGACCACTTCTAAATAAAAATGCAACTTTGAATCCAACTAGACTAAATCTACTATAATATTGGAAAAGATATAATCTTAGATAAAGCTAGACTTATTGTAAAAAATTTTGAAATTTTAATCTTGTTCCATCAATTTTCTAAGGCATGCTAATTCTTGCATCCTTCATACTTATAATAGTAAGACTTATTAAATTTAATTATGAGGTTAATCTACTTATATCTTTCAATTACACAACTTCTTGGCATAAACTTTGAATTTAATTGTTGATTTCTTCCATTGGCATGAAAATACTATCTCCATATTTAGTATTAAGAATGTATAAAATTTCCATTCTAAGAGTGTTGATAAGTCCTTAAAGATTTGCAATAGTTGCAAATTTATTCTTTCTTCTATTGAATTTAGTATCTATGATTTTTTTTTCTATTTTTTTTACAAAATACTTTAAAAAATTCATAAGTCAAATTAAAAGAGAATAATTTGTAAGCTCTAATATCAAATAAAAGTTTCTATAAAGACTATACTTTATTCTCTTTAAAGAAAGAATTGATATTAGGAAATAAAAAAAATATACCAATTTAAAAATAGACTATTCACAACTTTAACAAAAAAAAAATTAAAAATAAAAAATTAAAAATGAGATTATTTACATACTTCTAAGATAAAATAAAAATAATAAATTAATATTTTTGTCAAATTGTCAAGGACATAAACTAAAAACAATAAAAATCTCAATATATTCTTGTGTCATTCAAAAAAATAGATATTCTCGCTAAAGTATATTTTAATTTACCATACCTTGAATCAATTCTTCTTTTGTTGTGTACCTTCTTTAATGCACCTTCTTCTCTTTATTTACTTTTTTCATCTTTGTAACTATGCACCTACTATATCATCATGATGCTCATGAAATTCCAAATATCAACCTAATTCCAACATTGTTAAGAAAGTACAAAAATAATTGAAAAAAAGAGGCATTTGTATAATAAAGAAGTTTGGATATAAGATAGAGAGACAAAGAAGCCTTCTCATTGACCAAAATCAAACAAATCACTAACCACTAAGAAAACCATGCAATACTTACATAAAGACCTCCAATTTACTATCTATAAATAGCTTTTCCATGCACAACAAAACAGATTTCTGCTAATGATTTATATATACTCTTTTCTACAAGCTCTCAATCCATGAGAGACTAATAAAACTTCAATGGAAATTTCTTCAGACAATGTTTCTAGCAAAAATCTAGAGAATGATGTGATCCTCAAGACGTGGACCTTGCAGTATCGTTTTGTGGAGGATCGCAGCATTCTCTGGAGTTGGTTATGTTCACAGACATTCACATTATGAGCCGATTCTCTACGAGAAGGGGCTGCGACGACGCTGGCTTCGCAGAAAACTCGACGCAAGTTGTGTCTGGTCAACAGCCTCCTGAGGCCTCATTGTTGACATGCCAAGATGACCAAATGGATACTGCTCACGGAATTCCTGTTCGTTACTCAAGCACACCTGAAATCCAAACCATGAGTTGCGAAAGTATCGATTGCCCGGATTCCAATTCTTCCGCTCCCGATGCGCCTTTCCGGAGTAGAACCCTCACCACACTCAGTTGAGAGGCCAATGCGGCGTCCATTTTCCAACTAGAGGAACTGGTGACAACAGAGGAACTGGCGAAGCCTGAATTACACCAATCCTAGTGCTCGGTACCCCTCAGCCTTGACAAAACTCCGCGCATGCAACCGGTGTGAGAGGCAGAGTCTCATTGTCCTTCCGTATCTCCACACCTGCTGCACAACCACAGATCCCACTGCTCCCTTGATGCTAAAATCTCCAATTCTGACAATTTTGATGTTGCGACAGTCTTTCCACGATCTGTTTAAAACTGGGCCACTTGGACGGCTCTTGGTGCCAGCACGCTTCCACCAGTTCCCTCACTCGTTCGTCTATGAGGCTGTTTGTGCTCGGAAGCGGAGGCCTTGCTCCTTCCATGACTCGTGTACGCAAGTTAGCCGCGCCAGTAATGACCTGTTCATCTTCAAAGGGACCTTTCCCTGTTAGAATTTCGTAGCATGTCATTGCGTAGCTGTACACGTCCACCTCTTTGGTCATTATCTCGGGCCTTAACTGGTTAATCTTGGCCTGCTCTAATAATTCAGGAGCTCTTCAAAATCCGGATCCGTAAATGCCAACCGAGCTTTCGAAGTCTGCAACATCGCAAGTGTAATCGTCTGTGAGTTTGTGCTTACGCACAAGAATGTTGACTGCTTTCAGATCTCTGTGCAAAATGCCATGTTTGTGCAGCGTTTTCATGCCGTAAGCAATATCCAGCTTGATGCAAATGACCTGAGCCATGTCCTTAAATGGTCCATTGCAGCGTCCGCGATACCACCGCTTCTTCGACTTCATGTTATTGTCGATGACTGTCCGTAAGTCACTTGAATACCTCCCCATCACGAATGCGAACTGGCCATTCTTCAAAAGCGCACCGCCGAGCAAATAGCAACAATTCGAGTGGGTTATGAATTCCATGAAGGCTCGGTCGGGTTTCGTGCGGAAAAACCTTCGATCCCGTGACGATGAGAATCCTCCATGAAGAAACATTTCTGTTATGGGTGCTTCCCCCAAGAGCAACGTTCAGGAATGATAAGACAGCCACCTTCGCCTGTGCCATCCCTACCGCGGCAACAGATGCAAACTAAGCAGGCGTTCTGCACTTCGGAAGACAGAACTAGACTCCAGTGGTACTGGGAATACCCTCGACGGCACACGAGGAGATCATCTACGAGTGTGAAGAAGAGTGGAGACCTGAGCCACAAAAACCTACTCAGCAAGGGAAGAGGATCGGACCTTTTACGACGAGGTCCTCTGCGCGACCATGGCTCCAGAACAAGGGTGGTAAAGAGACGGCCAGCGATGTGGGAGAGGATCAGTGAGAGAGGTGCACCAAAGTTGAAAAGATGTTCGGGAGCGCCTTTCTGCGACATGTTCTGAGTCATCGAGAAGAAACCATTCATGCAACTTGACACCTACCGACATCGGACGAGCTCTCGATCAGTGAACAGACACCTTCGACCTCGACACTCATTGTCTCGGTTTCAAAGTTGCGAATGCCAATGTCTAAATGACTTCTCCATCGTTAACTGCGGAGGCCGTGGTCGTGTCCACAACACAGCAGCACCTGCATCGCCATTCCAACAATATTCTTCGACACTACCAAAAACATCAACTCAATAATCTCTGGTTGCAAATCAACAGAGTGGAACGGACAAAGTATCATGGCTCAGAATCTTTCAACCGACGTCACGAAAACAAATTGCAGGCCTATCATAAATGACCAGGTCTTCCAAAAACCCCATGATTCACCAAAACGACAAAATGAAACTTGACTCATCAGCGCCTCTCAACTAAACTGTGCACGCATGATGAACTGGTGAAGACGTGTAATCCGTGGATGTTCTGATACCTTGGGCTTTCTGGAGCACCCAATTCTGCCAAGTTGGAAAGTAGAATGAGGGCCAAGAGGAGAGGCTACAAAGGTTGTTGTAATGTTGATTTTGCTGCATTGCTCTGTAGAATAGGAAGAGAGAGTGATTCCCTCTGATCAGCATTCTTCCATTTCCAGCACTCATCCCACCTGACCTGACTACGGAAGCCTTGGATACATTAAAAAGCAATAGAACGTGATAAAATTTGCACTTATCAATAGGCTGAAAATAAATCTAAAAATAAGTGGATATGATTGATTGAAAAAAGTAGTTATTTTATTGGATGCAATAATTAATCTTATAAGAATTGCTGCATGATGTGTGGGTTTACATCAGCAACTGAGCACTACACGTGATGTCATGCAACATGGGCACTATCCAGTCTAGTGATTTTTTCTAACCCTTTTATTGGCAGGCCTGGCTTTGTGCTTTGCCAAGTATAGCCACAACTTGATCCACAATGATGTGTACATGGACCAAATTAAGCTTCACTACAATAACCCATTTGACAATTAATTCTTGTTATTATTTTTCAATTCTACTGCTAATGACCATAATTTGGTACTAAATTAGTAAATTATACTGCCCTGCAATAACCCACTTGCCAATTAATTCTTGTTATCATTCTTCAATTCTACTGCTAATGACCATAATTTGATACTAAACTAGTAAATTATACTGCCCTGCAATAATCCACTTGACAATCAATTCTTGTTATCATTCTTCAATTCTACTGCTAATAACCATATTTTGATACTAAATTAGTAAATTATATTGCCCTGCTAGTATCCAAAGCTTCAAATTCTGCTCATTGTTTGTGGCCATGTCAACATGCATGACATTTCTTTGATATTTTGTCAAGTTAAGTCAAGTATTAGTCTATTTGGGGGATTTTTGGTGGTATAGTTTTTGGTCATTTAAATAATCAAGATCCTCAACTTCAATGATAGATATTTTTTTCCAACATTGTAGAGCTTCATTGATGCAATACTCAAGTCGAATTGGGAGAAAAGACTTATCATTTCTTTACATGCACACAATAATTTAGCATCAACCAAATAGAGGGATACTCTAGATCTAAATAGTATGAATTATGATTCATAAATAGGAAGATGTAATGTTAAATTGGATAATTTGGCGCCAAAAAATTGTTCTTCTTGTATTGATATTTAGAGACCTAAGGTTAATCATAGTATCTAATCAAGCTATTGCAAATGCAATCATCTTATCTTAGACTTGATGATCCATATGTTTTGAAAGTGTACATAGTAAAATATATATAAGATTGAATGATATAAAGAATGCAATAATTTATTACATATTCTAAATGATAGAAATGGATGTAAGCTTTTTGAAAAGAATAAGTAATTTTTATTAAACTAATCCTTCTACTTATTTAAAGTTCAACCACATTTAGATTTTGCTCAAAGCCATTTATATGTGAATGGTTTAGATACAAAGAAATAACATGGCTTTCAAAACCAAGACATGGACTAGTAAATAATATACTAAATGTTTTAGAAAGATTTAATTGATTATAATATATATATATATATATATATATATATATATATATATATAATAGAATATGAATGGAAAAAGAAATAATTTTTAGAATAAAAAGAAATTTTAGATTGAATACCAAAGTTTTCTATAGAATACTAACAATTCACAATCTACATAGAAATAGTTGAATCACACAATAAAAAGTTATAACTAGTTTTTAAAAAAATAATAAAGAAGTGTAGGAAGCACATGGCAAAGTCCATCTTCATTAAAAAATAAACATCTCAAGTCTTTTGTTACCATGCCAATTATTTTAGATTCTATATTATCAAAAAATATTTTTAAATAATAATTAAAAAATAAATAGTACATGTATCAATCAAAAACCATCTTTAAATCACCAATCCAATAATATAAAATTACTTAAAATCACAAATTTTAACCAAACTTGTTATAAAATAAATAATTTTTTATTTGAAAAAAGATAAGAAAAAGAAATTTTATTCAAGATGATAAAGAAGTATTTATTAAAAGAAAAATTAAAAAAACTATTAGAATCTTGCATGTAATATAAATTATTTTAATAAAAAAATATTCTTAATACTTTAATAATATAAGAAGATGTCATGGACATATATAATTATTCTAATATTTATTTATATAATTAAGTAAAAGTAAGTAAAAATAGATTTATTTCATAATATTTTCTAAAGAAGCTTCTTAAAAGCTTCATAGATATTTGTTTGACTTTATATGTATTTGTAGTTGATTGGTAGGTTAGAAACTTGATCAACAAGTTAATCACATATTGGTAGCTTACAAAACAAGCTAAATATGTGGCATATATATAAAAAACTTACCTTACAAGTTAAAAGACGTATATTACAAATTCAATTTATTTTGAAGGTCCTATAGGATATCACCACATAGTTCCTAGTTAAGAGTATATATAGATATAAGAATGAAGTCTTTTTTACTCTTGTGAATGGTTTTTTAATTCTTAGTCTAGTTTTAAGAATTTCTAATCTTATTATCTTTCATAATAGCCATTCTAATTTAATACTATATCATCTTTTGAGTGATTTTTTAGCTTTTTTGAGTGACACAAGAATACATTGATATTTTAGTTCTTTAAGGTTCATATGCTTGATAGTTTGAAAAGAATACTAACTAATTATTCTTATCTTATTTAAAAGTGAGTGGATTATCTTGCTTCTATTATTGTATTTTGAAGGTTGTAGATTATCAAGCTTTAAATAAATTTATTAGTTTTTTAATACTAATATTTTTCTTAAAAAAAATGGATTATCTGTCTTTGTACAAATTTTTATTTGATATTAGAGATTACAAATTACCTTCCTCTAATTTGACTTGTGGATTTTTTAAGTTTTTTGAAATGAAACAAAAAATCATAGATGCTACACTTGACAAAAGTGAAAATAGATTTGAACTATTTTTGATCTTTATGAACTTCTCAATACTCTTAGGATAGAAATTTCATGCATCAAGAGTACCAACCACAAAAACAATAATTCTACTCATATAGAAGAAGTTCTACATCAAGAAGTTGTGTAGTTGAAAAAAGCAAGTAAATTGAGTTTAGAACTAAATCCAAGGAATTTGCTTCTAAAAGTACAATAGAGACAAGGATTAAAATGTTTGAAAAGTTTGAAAGAACAAGATCAAAATTTTAAGGATTTTTTCAACAAGTCAAGTTCTATCTAAGATTGCATCTCTTTCATTAGCTTGATGGATTTACTTAAGTTGGATTAATAAGCACACTTCTATCTAGAAGTGTTCTTTCTTGATTTGTATCTTTGATGAAAAAAGATTCATGATTCTTTTATGATTTGAATTCATTCTTGGAAGTATTTATCACTATATTTGGAAAAAGTGATTAAGAAAGAATAGCAAAGATCAAGCTTTTATCTTTATGACAAGGATTATAATCAGCGACCATATATAATCAGCTGCTAAATTTCAAAACCTTGCTTGCAATGTAGACTAGAATGACAAAGTTCTTATCAATTAATTTTGATATGAATTGAAGGATAATGTCAAAGATTACTTATTGACGATGCCAAAAGCAAAATCTTAAGAAGAATTTATTGCTTAAGCCATTACATGTAATAATTAATTATTTAAAAGATATTAAAAATAAAAAATTGACTGGAGAGGAATAAGTCAAGTAATGACAATAGCTCTCAAGTTTTTAAAAATTTATTCATGAAGGCCAAAACTAATACAAATTAGTTTGATATAGTTTAAAAACTTCAAAGAGCAAAAAAGATTTGATATCATTAAGAGGACTTATACTTATATTATGGAGAAGCTAAATAAATTTTTTAATATTGTACAAAAAAACAATGTAATCACAAAATGATGATTATGATTGCTAAAAAAGATGATATAATGGAAAATAAGTTTCTCCTTTTATAATAGTAATCATGCAGTTAGAATCTTCTATTGTTGTGATGTAACTCAACTAATAGGTAAAAAAGTATAGAAATTATTATATTATAAAAGATCTTAGTTCAAAATATTATAGCAAATTATCTTAGAAATATAGATAATAGTCAAAAGGGTAGTAAAAATAAAAAGTAGTAATATTGCTTTTTACAAAATGAGCTTCTATTTACTTTGAAGGACCATAAGTAAGACAAAATAAAGTAAATTAGAAAATTAAACAATATTGGCATATAAAGAAAGAAATTAAGAATAGATTTTAGTAAAATTTACCTCAAGAAGCCAAAAATTGATACCTGAAGAGGACCAGTTGTCAACCTACATTGAAATCAGATCCTAAGGCACAAAATCAAACATCTATGGTGACTCTAGGATTCTTTTGAAGATCAGAGACTAAGATTTGATAGCAAACTTAATAAGGTTTTTGTGAGCATTGATTTTGTAAGATTTAGATTAATAATGACTTAATAAAACTCTTATAAAGTCAAGATTATTTTGGATGATTTGGATTTTTGTGAAATCAAAGGGAGTTGATATTTTGGACACTTTCAAGAGTTTTTTAGTAGATTTATAAGTAAAATTTTGCAAGTCATTGGTTATAGTTGTGTTTAATATGAATTAAGAATTTTAGCTTTATTTAGTATTTGAATTGATGATTATTAAGGTTTAAATGGATTGAGATCTTAGAAAGTAGAATTTTATATCTAATGAAGGTTTTCTAAGATTTCTTGAAATCTATTAATTATATTAGAGTAAAAGTTGTATATGTGAATAATAGACTTGTTTTCCTACGTATATGAGAAATTTAAAATCAACTTAATAGGACAAAAGAGAGATATTAGCACTAGAAGATCAGTATTAAGGTTGGAGAAGGAGGCTGACCAACATCCGAGCAAATTTTAGGATTTTCTTTTCATTTGGTAAGTGCGATTGTCCTCAAATTTGTTGTACTTGTTTGTAAATAAGAGATTGAAAGGTATATAAAATTTTAAAAAAGATCAATGGTTTAATCATAATATATCAAGATTCTAAACTATCTTAGGATTTGGTTTAGGATTTAGGATTGGTTAAAATTTGATTTATGATTTAGGATTTAGTTAGGATTTGGGTTAGGATTTAGGATTTGGTTAAGATTTGATTTAGGATCTAGGATTGATTAGGATTTGATTTAG